AAGTCATTATAAGTCCTTTACTGGATATGCCTGACACAGGTATCGCCACGTTTAATTTTTGAATGTTTTATAAAGAAAGACTGGGAGTGGGCATATACCTTTGATCCCAGCACTCGGAGGCAGAGACAAGTGGATCTCTGTGAGTACAAGGCCAGCCTGGTCTACAGAGTGAGTTCCAGGACAGCTAGGGCTACACAGAGAAAGCCTGACTCAAAATGATAATAATAATAATAATAGTTAATTAGATTGTTGTACTAGTCAGGACTTGAACTTGGCACTGGGAATATATTATCAGTAAGGCAAATTTATTATCACACTATAGAGGAATTGTAAGTAAAAGATGTTAGGGGCTGGCAGTTAGCACGGTGGGAAACTGAAGATTCAGGTATTGGGTTAGATCCCTTCCCAAAGCCATTCTAGAATAAATGGAATTAGTATAGAATAAATCTATGATACTTAACAGAATCAACAGAACTTGCTGGCAGCCGAGTTCACAAAATAAACCATCCCCTAATCCAAACCATGGCTCCTCAGCAAAGCTGGGATAGCGTTTTTTTCCTTGAAAATTGTGCCAGGCTGGGGACAGGAGAAGGACTCTCCCTCCCTCCCTCCCTTCCTTCCTTCTTTTTTGGTTTTTCTGAGACAGGGTTTTTTTTTTGTGTAGCCCTGGCTGTCCAGGCTACTCCATTTGTAGACCAGGCTGGACTCGAACTCATAGAGCTCTGCATGCCTCTGCCTCCCAAGTGCTGGGATTAAAGGCGTGAGCCACCACTGCCGAGCCTGGGTCCTACTTTCTGAAAGAGGCAAAAGTATGGATTTGGAACTAGAATTCCAGATGGCAATCTTTGGTGTGTACTGAGTAGAAATCATCCTGGCGCTAGATGGAGCTGATCACGAGAGGGCAGAGGTAAGAGCTAGGTGAGAAGGCAGGACTCTTCCTAGCATCCCTTTTCCTCACTTTAGCCATCCTACATGACCCCAAATTCCAGTCCCCCCAACCTCCCCCCACCTTTTGAGACAGCATCTTGCTGTATAGCTCTGACTGGATTAGAATTCTCTACCAGCCAGGCAATCCTCCTGCCTCTCGCTTCTTCTTGCATCCTTGGAATACTACCAAGCCCAGCTAAATCCCATTTAAAACATAATTAGGGGCCAGCGTGAAAGATTCTAAGCTGAAAGCACATGCTGCCTGAGCATGCCGTTGAGTTCAATCCCCAAAACCCACAATAGGTGAGAACTGACTCCCTAAAATTGTCCTCTGGCTCACACACATACATATATGTATGCATGCACAGAGGCACACCGGCAGGCATGCAATGTGTGCACAAATGTACCAATACTGTTCTGGCTGGTTTTATGTCAACTTGACGCAAGCTAGAGACATCAGAGAGGAAGGAGCCTCAGCTGAGGAAATGCCTCCATGAGATCCAGCTGTAAGACATTTTCTCAATTAGTGATCAATGGGAGAGGAACCAGACCATGGTGGGTGGTGCCATCCCTGGGCTGCTGGTCCTGGGCTCTATAAGAAAGCAGGCTGAGCAAGCCAGGGGCCGATCCGTTTGAGTTCCTAACCTGACTTCCTTCAGGGATACACAGCGATGTGGAAATGTAAGCTAAAGAAACTCTTTCTTCCCCAACTTGCTTTTTGGTCATGATGTTTTGTTGCAGCAATAAAAATCCTAACTAGAACAGATACTAATACTAGCAAACAAAATAAACTAAGTTTCAGCTACTTAGGCCAAGTGTAGGGGTCCACTCCTGGAACCCTAGCATTTGGGAGTCAGGAGCAGGAAGCTAGCCACTTTGAGACCAGCCTGAGCTACTTGCCCCCCCCCCCCCCCGAAAAAAAACACAACAAAAAACTAAAATGAACAAAAAAGAAAGCAAAAAACAACAAAGTTGTACCTGCAGCTCGTGGACATAGGTTTGCCCTTGGCCCCGAGGACAGTTCCCAATACCAAGACAAGCAAAACTACTCAAAAGGTATGTGTGATGGATCTCAATAAAGAAACTGCTAAGGTTACTGCTCCTTTATCAGGGAGAAGGTTCTTTTGGTTTGTTTTCCAAGACAGGGTTTTTTTCCTGTAGCAGCTCTGACTGTCCTGGAACTCGCTTTGTAGACCAGGCTATCCTTGAACTCAGAGACCTACCTGTTTCTGCCTCCCGGATGCTGAGATTAAAGGCATGCACCACCACACCTAGCAGGGAAAAGGGTTTTGTTTGTGAATAAGAGAAAAGAGACTGTTCAAAGGCACCTGGAGACGTCGAGAGCAGAGGAAAAGAGACTGGACACAGCCAGGGCTAGGGAAGGGGAGAGTGGAAGCGAATAGTGGAGACAGTGAGGTAGCAAAAGGTAGTGAACAGAGCGTAGCGGAGCAGAGGGATTGCACAGGTAGGAAGTGGATTATAGGAGGACCAGGAACTGAGGGAGGGAAGGACCTGGACGCTAGTGTGGACTCTGAGATGAGTAGCAGGTTCCCTTGTGATACTGAGGGAACCCGGAGGCCACAAGGACTTTGATATTCAGATAGCCACTGCAGGTGTGTCAATAAATAGCCATCCTTTAGGGGATGAAAAGCCAATTCCTCACAAGCTCCTGAGGAATGCTGGCTTTGATCAGTTGCTAGAAATCCTCCTGTAGTCCAGCCTGAGACCTAACAAAAGGAAGAGGGCAGAGGAGGAAGGGAGGGAGGGGGACTTCAAACAAGAGTAGTCAATGAACTTAAAAAGATTGGTTCATCTTGGGTCATTTGTCCATCTGTATCTGGCCACTTTGGGTCATGGGGTTGCCATCAAAAGACTAGATGACTCCTAAAAGACTACACTCTAGCCCTGACATGGGGTGAGGGAGTGGAAGCAGTTGTCGGAGGAAGAAAGTTATTGGAAAAGTGGAGAAATATTCAAAGATTGTCTCCCTCCCTCCCTCCCTCCCTCCCTCCCTCTCCCCCCCCCTCTCTCTCTCTCTCTCTCTCTCTCTCTCTCTCTCTCTCTCTCTCTCTCTCTCTCTCGGGTCACCATTTAGACCAGGCTGGCCTTTAACTCATAGAGAACTTCTTGCTTGTCTCCTGTGCTGGGATTAAAGGTGTACATCAGCAGATACTTAACCCTATTCTCAGGTATACACAACCGTTTTGTTCCGTTCCTACCACTGAGACGTCTTCCGCCTTCCCTCCAGCTCCTTTTTCTATGAATACTCATTTTCCTGTGATTTTAGTGTAACAAGAGAAGCAAAGGCATTCTCAGCTGCTTGGCAGTTGTTTAAGATGACTCAGAGCAGAAGTTAGACAGTTTTGTAATACAACTTAAGAATCTCTCTTCCCGAAATCTGAAATCGGAATTGGGCCAGAATCTGAAATGTTTTCAACACTGACTGGATACTCAGGTGGAAAATTCTGTGCCACAAAGTCTTCATCTTAAAATTGTTTGAAATAGCTTATGAAGCTGCTATCATATTCTCATATGTAGAAGGCATTAAACAACTAAGTCAATTCTATGTTGGGATGTAGATCCGTCCCAAAATATTATGGATATGAAAATATTTCAAAATGTAAACTCATCTAAAGTCAGAGACTGTTGTGAAATATTATTTTAACTGGGCAAAGATGTGTTACATTTGTTTATGCTGAGGAATATTACTTTAACTATGTAAAGATGTGTTACTTCTATTTATGCTGTATTTGTTTAATGATGTAAGGACGTGTGTTTAATTATGTAAAGATATGCTGCATCTGTTTCACCTTGCCTGCCTAAGGCACCTGATTGGTCTAATAAAAAGTTGAATGGCCAATAGCTGGACAGAAAAAGGGATAGGAGGGCTACCAGGCAGAGAGAATAAATAGGAGAAATGTAGGTTCAAGAAGGGAGGAGGAGAATGAGGGAGACACCTGGGGCAAGAAGCCAGGCAGATGCCAGACAGACATGGAGAAGTGAAAGATAAACATAAGAAAGGTAAAAAGCCCGGAAGCAAAAGATAGGTAAAGAAAAACTGGTTAATTTAAGAGAGCTAGCCTAAGCTAGGCTGAGCATTCAAAACTAACAGTTTTTGGAAGCTGGTTAGTGGCCCAAAAGAAAAAGCCTGGTACAAGAAACACCTGGCCTCAAGCATCTCTTGTGGGCTACTCTCTGTACTGCGTGCCTATACTAAGTGTGGGTCTCCCACCACATCCGGTGAAACTACGGTGTATGAAATGTTGATCCTGAAAAGAGAGAGACCAGGAATCATCAATTACTAACACAAGTACTTGTCACCCTTCATGGCTGATCATTGCAAGCTTCAAAAACCTACTCTTCTGAGATCAGTTATCCCATCAGAGACACAGAGGCCAATCCCAACAGCCCAATCAGTTGTTAACTGTTATATATAGGTCTCCAATTAGATTCCCATCTCAAGCCAAATAGCTGTGATAATTTAAATTAATTTTGAGTAGCTTGAAGCTGACAGCCCTAGCATTAAAATAAATGCTTTTGTTACGGAGGTAATTTATTTACATGGTGATGGCAGCTGTCTCCTCTCTTGGATCCCTTTTCAACCAAATCATGCAGTCTCAAAAGAGGTGACACACTTAGAAAAGGATGAAAAGTGGTTCCAGCATCTTCCCGAACCTTTCCTGGGGTCTCTTCATGCAACCTCCTGGTTAGATGTATGTTTGATGGCATATTGATGGGAGAAAGGGCATTTCACTTCCCTATTGATCAAAGAAATTTCCTGGAGAAGGGGTGGTGTTCCAGAAGGTGTGTGTCTCTGTTTCAGTATGTGTGTGTCTCTGTTTCAGTGTGTGTGTGTGTCTCTGTTTCTGTATGTGTGTGTGTCTGTTTCTGTGTGTGTGTGTATGTCTGTTTCTGTGTGTGTGTGTACGTTCAGTCTGTGTGTTCAATGTAGGAGAGTTATACTGGGGATGAGCATGGAGAAAGGAGGTACTTGGTTTCTGAACGTTCCTGTGTCTTTCTCACAAGGCTGGCTTTTGTAACTCCAAGTTTTGTTCTTTCTCTTCCTCTCCCAGGTGTGAATGAGCCCAGGCACCAAGCTGCCACTGCTGAAGAAACATTTCCATGTCATTTGCATGACCCCTGCTGTGAAATGAACCAAGCAAGGACTTGTCAGAGATTTCCTTCCCTCCCTTGCTGAGCACTCCGGAGCCATTGTTCCAGTGTTGTTTAATTGTGTCCTGTCCTCCTCTTGCCAAGGCAAACATCCCAGTCTCTGAGGAGGGATCCCCAAGCTCGTAGGCTGGCCTGAACATGAACATGGGCAAAGCTGATGACTGTGAGCGTTCCCAAGGGACACGGATCCCCATGGGGTCCAGTCTGCAGAAGCAGGACCTCTCATGATGCTGGTGTCTGGGAGTGAGCACTATGCCCATCACCCAGGACAATGCCGTGCTGCACCTGCCCCTCCTGTACGAGTGGCTGCAGAACAGCCTGCGGGAGGGTGGGGACAGTCCGGAGCAGCGGCTCTGCCAAGCGGCCATCCAGAAGCTGCAGGAGTACATCCAGCTGAACTTGGCTGTGGATGAGAGTACAGCCCCACCTGATCACAGTCCTCCAGAGATGGAGATCTGCACAGTGTACCTCACCAAGCAGCTGGGGGACACTGAGACTGTGGGGCTCAGTTTTGGAAACATCCCTGTTTTCGGCGACTACGGTGAAAAGCGTCGAGGGGGCAAGAAGAGGAAAACCCACCAGGGTCCGGTGCTGGACGTGGGCTGCATCTGGGTGACAGAGCTGAGGAAAAACAGCCCAGCAGGAAAGAGCGGCAAAGTCCGGCTGCGGGATGAGATCCTCTCCCTGAACGGTCAGCTCATGGTTGGAGTTGACGTCAGTGGGGCCAGGTAAGCGGGAGGATCACCAGCCAGCGTGGGGCCCACTTAACTTTTTATTTGGGTCTGAACCTATAGGCTTATGGGTTCCCTGGAAAGAGGCCAGTGGCTTTGATCCCCTACAGGAAGTCCTAGGCTCCTATTGCCTCATAACATCCTCACAGTTATAGCAGATGACAAGGAAACTTGGTTTTTCAAAGCTCGCTTCCTAGAAAATACCATTTGTTGCGCAACATCTGCTGTAGTGGGCATTTGTCAGTCAGTAGCTCGTCGAATACCTGGGTGGTTTGTCTTATTACTGTTTTCTTTTTTGGTCCATTCATTAAGAGCACCTAGTCTCAAAACATTTCCCTTTCTCTGACATTTGGGGTCAAGAGAAAATAAACTCTGGTGAAACCATAAGCAACATTCCATTGAGCTAGACTATATCCTTCAGCCCGGCATCTCACTGGCAATCAGAAACCCAAGGCTGTGGTCCCAGATGTGTGTCATCTGCCCATTACTTCGCCTACCATAGGCACAGGACTCCCATAGACTCAGAGTGCAGACGCCCATCCTGGCATTCCTGTATTTTCTACCTGTGCCCCCTGCCCAACATTGTAGGAAGTTAAGACAGGACAGTTGTGTTTCCCTGGTGAGTCAGCTTCCCAGAAGCATTGTTGGGTTCAGAGATAGGCTAGATGGCCTCTTAGCACTCTGAACAGCTGCCATGCTTACAGTTTGTCCCAGTGAAAACACAAAGACTGAAATCGGCCATGGTGAAAGCTAAAAGCTGCAGGGTAGAGTCTAGTAGCAACCCCATGCCCGTTTTCAGTTGCCCCCTAGTCCATGGTACTCGGAGGTCCCCACATGGAGTATTGTCACCAGCAAAGTTCATATGAGGCTTGGTGTCCAGGGCTCCTATGGGGGTTGGTCATGTGGGCCTGACCTTACTCTCACTGAGTCTGTAGTCCCTCCAGTGATAATTAATACATGGGGCTCAGAGTTCCCACAAAAACCACATACGTGGTTAGTAAACACTATGGGGTGTTGTCCCAGATACATGGGACACATTGTCCTAGATGCACAGGATATTCCAAGGGCTTACATGCTGCCTCCCAGGGCTAGTCAGAAGCTAGTCTTTTCCTTGGCATGCATGTGGGTTGAATGCCTCAGACCTTCTGAGTTCACCCTCTGCTGTGCACCTGGAGTCCTAGGTACTACCCATTGCCTCATTACAACTCAGATGTTAACAGAAGAAGACAAGAAGACTAGCTAGATATCGTCAGGCTCACTTCCTCGCTCTTTTTTATAATTAATTTATTTTTACATTCCTGTCCCAGTTCCCCCTCCTTCCTCTCCCCCCACATCCCTCCCCTCACCTCCCATCTGATTCTCAGAGAGGGTAAGTTCTCCCCTAGGAAGTCTTAATCTATCGCACTATGTCTAGGCTGACCAAGGTATCTCTTCATATAGAATGGGCTCCACCAAGTCAATTTGTGCATTAGAGTTTTAGATCTTGGACTCACTGCCAGTGGCCTCATGCATTGTTCCAACTATACCATCGTCACCTATATTACTGGAGTCTAGTTCGGTCTTTTGCAGGTTCCCCATTTGTCAGACCTGAGCCAGTGATCTCTCACTAGCTGGGGTCAGCTGATTCTGGTTTTCCCACCACGGTCTTGATTCCTTTGTTCATATCACTCCTCTCTCACTTCGATTGTACTCCAGGAGTTCCGCCCAATAGTTATTTGTGGATTTCTGCACCTACTACCTTCTGTTTCTGGAAGAGGGTTCTAGCTTCTCTGGGGTTGTGGAGTGTAGGCTGAGTACCTTTTATTTTATGTCTGGTATCCACTTATGAGTGAGTTCATACTATATTTGTCTTCCTGGTTCTGGGTTACCTCACTCAGGATGTTTTTTTTTCTAGTTCTGTCCATTTGCCTGCAAATTTTAAGATGTCATTGTTTCTTACTGCTGAGTAGTACTCCATTGTGTAAACGTACCACATTTTCTTTATCCACTCTTCAGTTGAGGGGCATCTAGGTTGTTTCCAAGGTCTGGCTATTACAATTAATGTTGCTATGAACATAGTTGAGCAAATGTGTGAATGTGCCTCCTTTGGGTGTATGCTCCAAAGTGATATTGCAGGGTCTTGAGGTAGGTTGACCCCCAATTTTCTGAGAAATTTTCATACTGATTTCTAAAGTGGCTGTACAAGTTTGCACTCCCACCAGAAATGGAAGAGTGTTCTCTTTCTCCACATTCTCTCCAGAATAGTGGTGTTTTTGATCTTAGCCAATTTTGATTGGTGTAATTAAAGATGTTGAGCATTTCTTTAAGCCTTTCTGCCACTTGAGATTGTTGTGTTAGGTCTGTACCCCATTTCTTAATTGGATTATTTGGTAGTTTGATGTCTAGTTTCTTGAGTACTTTGTATATTTTGGAGATTAGCCCTCTGTCAGATGTGGGGTTGGTAAAGATCTTTCCCATTCTGTAGGGAACTGTTTTGTCTTGTTGACTGTACTTTGCTTTACAAAAGCTTCTCAGTTTCAGGAGGTCCCATTTATTAATTGTTGCTCTCAGAGTCTGTGCTACTGGTGTTCTACTAAGAAAGTGGTCTCCTGTGCCCATGCATTCAAATGTATTTCCCATTTTCTCTTCTATGAGGTTCAGTGTGGATGAATTTATATTGAGGTCTTTGATCCATTTTGACTTGAGTTTTGTGCATGGCAATAGATATGGATTTACTTGCATTCTTCTACATGTAGACAGTTATACAGCACCATTTGTTGAATATGCTTTTTCCATTTTTATATTTGTAGCTTCTTTGTCAAAAATTAGGTGTTCATAGGTGTGTGGGTTGATATCAGGGTCTTCGATTCCATTCCATTGTTCTACCTGTCTGTTTTTATGCCAATATGAAGCTGTTTTTATTACTGCAGGTCTGTAGTAGAACTAGAAGTTGGGGATAGTGATGCCCCCAGATGATCCTTTATTGTACAGGATTGTTTTGGCTATCTTCAGTTTTCTGTTTGTTCATATAAAGTTGAGTAGTATCCTTTGAAGGTCTGAAGAATTGTGCCAGTATTTTGATGAGGATTGCATTGAATCTATAGATTGCTTTTTACTATGTTGATTCTACCTATCCATGAGCATGGGAGATCTTTCCATTTTTCTGGTATCTTCTTTGATTTTCTTTAAAGACTCAAAGTTCTTGTGATGCAGGTCTTTCATTTGTTTGGTTAGTGTTATCCCAAGATATATTATATTGTTTGTGGCTATTGTAAAGGTGATGTTTCTCTGATTTCTTTCTCAGCCCATTTATCATCTATATATAGTAGAGCTACTGATTCTTTTAAAGTTAATCTTGTATCCTGCCACTTTGCTGAAGGTGTTTATCAGCTGTAGGAGTTCCCATGTAGAGTTTTTGGGGGTCACTTATGTAAACTATCATATGTGTAAATAGTGGAAGTTTGACTTCTTCCTTTTCAATTTGTATCTCCTTGAACTCCTTTGGTTGTCTTACTGTTCTAGCTAGAACTTCAAGTATAATATTGAAGAGATATGGAGAGAGTGGACAGCCTTGTCTTGCTCCTGATTTTAGAGGAATCGTGTTGAGTTTCTCTCCATTTAGTTTGATGTTGGCTGTTGGTTTACTGTATATTGCTATTATTATGTTTAGGTATATTCCTGTTATTCTTTATCTCTCTAAGACCTTTATGATGAAGGGATGTTGAATTTTGTCAGAGGCTTTTTCAGCATCGAGTGAGATGATCATGTGTCTTTTTTTTCTTTCAGTTTGTTTATATGGTGGGTTACATTGAAGGATTTTCATATGTTGAACCATCCCTGTATCTGTCTCTGGGATGAAGCCTACTTGATCATGGTGGATTTTCTGTTCTTGGATCCGGTTTGCCAGTATTTTATTCAGAATGTTTTTGAGGGAGATAGGGCTGTGATTCTCTTCTTTAGTTGTCCTTGTGCTCCTGACCCTTTTTGAAGAATTAAAAGATATACCACTTACTAAGCCGTATCTACCAGAGTGGGCATCTGTCAACCAGTATCTTACTTAGTACCTAATCATGTCTATATGACAAGCTTAACCTCCATCATGTTTAACTTGCCCAAGATTTCCCAAGTAAGAGACAACTGGGATTTGAACCCAGATAAGTCTAGCTCCACAATTTGTGCTCTTAGCCACAGTGTTATATCTGTAGTCTTGTAGTCTGCTGCATAAACTCACAGATGGTTTATGACTACACAAAATATCTCCTTAGTATAACCACAAACACCAGAAGAAAACAAACCAAACCAAACCAATGAAGACCTCTTTCTACCTAAACCAACAAGGAAATGAGCCTTTTAACTCATCTCCTAAAAGGACTTCAACATATTAGACTGGTTTTATATTATTGTAATGAAATACCTAAAGGAAGCTACTTATGAAAGAATTTACTTTAGTCCATAGTCCTGGAAGTTTAAGATCAGGAAACCCTGTAGGTTTAGGCTCCAGAGATGGCCTAGTGATGGACAGTATTGCCATAGGAACATGTTTGTCAACAGACAAGAAGCCAGAAAGAGACAGAGGTCCCACCTTCCCTTTACAAGTCACTCTCCCAACTGACCAAAGAGTTTCTCATTTGGCCTCACCCCTTAGTTCAAAGCACCTGTCAACATTGCCACACTGAGGACAAAGCTTTCAACATGTAAGTCCTTGGGAGACAGACCACACCCACACCATAGCAGAATTCCTTTGGCCAATTTATATGGTACTGCAGCTTGGAGACCAGAAACAAGATTGGGGTCTTGGTACAGTGTTGCTCAGGATCTGAGAAGGATTGTTTCCAGGATTTGCAGTGAATACCAGAGTCCAGTAATGCTCAAGTCCTTCATATAAATGATGTAATATTGGTCTCTAAAGAATGCACATCTTGGTCGGGCGATGGTGGCGCACGCCTTTAATCCCAGCACTTGGGAGGCAGAGGCAGGCGGATCTATGTGAGTTCGAGGCAGGCTGGACTGACAGCCTC